TTATTAATTTTTAGTGCGGTTTGATTACACAACTTTTTGTCACAGGTCAAAATTTTTCTATAAATATAAGTTTGTGTAAACATAATGAGAAGGCTCAGTCAACTCCTTCAATTCCAGTTAGGTTGCAGGATTAGATACGCACTATCTGAAATATTCATATTTGCAGAGCAATTAGTAGTGGGATATCAATGCTCAAATGGTCTAGAATTGAAGCATTAATTTGTACTTCCTCTGCTGTGATTCAAATGACCATCTGGAATGTTTGCAGCATATTCTGTTTTTGTTTCAGGGTTCAACAAACATAATTTTCTTCTTATAAATTGTAAATTCGACTAGATGCTTTGAAATACTACAAAGCCTGAATGAAAAGATGACCTTTCAAGATCAAGATCATTTGATCCAACAAACAGAACCATTGACTGGTTGCAGTAGTTGAGATCTTTCTCAGGTGGTCGGGCATCAATTCTCCTGTAAGTAAAAAGTTGTCACGAGTTCTAAGGATAATGATACCTTTCAATTTTGGAACTGGGAAACTGAATATCCAACAGAAAAAAAAAGTAAAATTTTGTTTTTATCAACTGCTTAGTCCTACATAAGCAGGAATGAGGGGAAAATCCAGGAGGAATGATTGTATGTCAGTAACAGAAGCCACCTGATTTATCCACTATTTAAAACTTTGTATACAATATGTTATAGCATGATACTGTCTTCCATTTTTATTACATCTCCTCCCCAGAGTGTTTTATTTCCATGCAAACAACAATTGCGGATGCTGGAAACCTGATACAGACACAGACAATTCTGAAGAAACTCAGCAGGTCTGGCAGAATCTGTGCAGAGAGAAATAGAGTTAACATTTCAAGTCCACCGACTATTCTTCAGAACTGACAGTATGTAGCAACAAGTAGTATTTACCTTGGTGACAGGAGATGGGAGGGGAAAGGAGTGAGTGGATAGGTGGAAATAGAGCATATATTACATTATGTGCACATGCGAGAGAAATAGAGAGAGGAAACGTTAGACAAAGTGATTGTTGACAGCAAGCCTGGGGTAGATAGGTGTTAGTGGGGACTACTGAGTGGGTGAAAAGGGGTTGGCTGTGCTGAAAGCAATCCATGTTACGATGGGATCTGGGGTCCAGACTCTAAATATTATTGAATTCGAGATTGTGTCCTGAAAATGACATGCTGCTCTTCTAGCTTGCAATGAACCAGAAACACTGCAGCAAACCTGAGACAGAGGTGTTGGCCTGGGAACATAGTGGTGTATTGAGATGACAGCAACTGGAAGCTTGAGATCATTTCTGAAGACTGAATACAGGTATTCCACAAAGTGATCAACCAATCTGTGTTTTGTCTCCACGTTGTGTAGGAGACAGCATTGTAAGCAATGAATGCAGTAAGCTAGGCTGAGTAAAGTGCAGGTAAATCGCTACGTCACTTGGCAAGCTGTGTCTGGGGCCTTAGATACTGTACAGAATGGAGTTAAATGGGCAAGTTTTGCACATTCTGTGATTGCATGGTAAAGTGCCTGGGGGTGAGAGAGGAGTCGGTAGTGGAGGAGTGGATCAGGTTGTCCCAGAGGTAATGGGCTGACAAGGGACGGGAGGGAACCATGTGTCTGGTGGTGGCATCTCGGAGGTGATGTAAATGGTACCTTATGATTCTTTGGATGTGGAAGCTGGGGATATGGAAAGTGGGGACTGGGGAAGCCTATTGTTGTTGTGGGAACGAAGAGATGGGGTAAGGGCAGAAGTCCAAGAGATGGGTCAGACATGGCTTAGGGCCCTGTCAACCTTGACGATGGGGAAATCTTGATTGAGGAAACAGGTGGATATTTCTGAGGCCCCCCTGAAGAAGGTGGCATCATCAAAACAGAGGCGATAGGCAGAAGCAGCAATCTCTGCCTAACTGTTCCCCTCTCTCTTGCGAGGCTCTGTCTCCACCTTCTTCTACACCCCCACACTCCTCCATCATCAGGAAAAATACCATTTTTCTAAGATGCTATCAGTTCTGAAGCAGAGTTACTGGGCTTGAAACATTAACTATTTCTCTCTCCACAGATGTTGCAAGATCTGCTGAGTTTCTCCAGCAATTTCTGTTTTTCTATCTTGTCTGGATGGGTTTGATCTCAGACAGCCAACCTATTTTCTACTATTCACACCCATTTTACTTCTCTATCACTTCTTTTCCACCATTTTCACTGCTTTTGTCATTTGGTCTGGGTGCCCTAACAATCTGTTCCACTCACTTCTCCTCCTATCAACATCAGAAAACCATCACTTTTCAGCAGTTCTAAGTTATCACTGGACCTGAAACAGTAACTCTGTCTCTCTCGCTCTCTATAGATGTGTCAGATGTGCTGTGTTTCTCCAGCATTTTCTATTTATCTTTCAGATCTCCAGAATCTACAGTATTGTGCTTTTACCCAATTTATAAATGTTAAGATTATCATCAATACTTAGGCAGCAAAGCTGAAAAGTTACCCGAGTCTCTTTGCAATGTGTGTAAAAGCAAAGCCTCATAAAAAGTCCAACCAATGATGTAGTGCACAAGATCTTCAAATCACAGCAGCTGGTAACTGGATTCTTTTTGTCTGTTTAGATGTCTTCTTCCTCAGAAACCCATTACTTTTCAAAACCTAATTGCACAATACAATCTTGCACAAAGACAATTAGCACAACTCTAGCATTCAAGTTATTCACCTTGTGAAAACTTCTGAGAGATACACTGAGAGTAGTTTGAGAAGTCTATTATTACTGAATTCATATCTACTAATTTGGTACAAACTAGGGGTCAAATCTGGAGATTCATAGTCTGTAAGGAATGAGCTCTGTAATGAACAGATTTAAGAATTGTGTCACTAAGGAAATATCACTTCAACTGCTCAATATTTAAAGCCTTTATTGTAAAGGCAATCATGGTGATTCTTCCGGGATCAATGGAGATAGGGAGGGTCCCCAAGGACCGGAAAATGGCTAATGTAACATCGCTCATTGTCTCAGAGGCAAAAGATCGGAAACTATAGATCAGTTAGCCTGACTTTGGTCTTTGGTAAGATACTAGAGTTCATTATTAAGGATGACATTACAGAGAACTTAGAAACTGCATGGCAAAATAGGGCCGAGTCAGCACAGCTTCGTTAACAGGAGGTCATGCCTGACAAATCTTTCAGAATTCTTCAAGAAGGTAAAGAGCAAGTTAGACAAAGGAGAGCCAGTAGATCTGGTCTATTTGAATTTTCAGAAGGATTTTCAGACAACGTGTCACACAGGAGGCTGCTAAATAAGACAACAGCCCATGGTGTTAAAGACATGAACTGGCAGAAGGCAGAGTGGGATAAAGGGGTCTTCTTTAGAATGGCGGCTGGTGACTAGTGGAGTTCCACAAGTGACAGTGTTGGGACCAGACTGAAGGAACAACCTTTAAGGACTGAGATGAGGAGGAATTTCTTCAGCCAGAGGGTGGTGAATCTGTGGAACTCATTACTGCAGAGGGCTGTGGAGGCCAAGTTATTGAGTATATTTAAGACATAGATGGGTTCTTGATTACTAAGGGGATCAAGGGTTACGGGGAGAGGGCAGGAGAATGGGGTTGACAAACGTATCAGCCATGATTGATGGGCAGAGCAGACTCAAGGGAGCGAATGGCTTAATTCTGTGCCTATAACTTATGATCTATTCTTAGAAATATGTTGAATGAGTTTTATATCTTCTCACTAAGCATGTATGTTTCAAAGGTCATTGTTTCAAAATTAATAATGTTGCTTTCACACTCACCAGTTGACTGATAAAGCAAAGCCTTATTACGTGGTATTGTCATGAGATATACAAATAATAGAAATGTAAATAATTGAACAAGATTTTCAAAACTAAAATATGGCAAAGAAATCAATGGTGGGCATCTACGGCAATCTCAGCTCTACCAAAGATGGACATAATTTGTTTTTTTTTATGAATGCTGAGTTCTTACATTTTTTGTTGCAATTATTGATTTATGTTTGTTCATCAAAAATTGCTTACAATTATTAAAAAAGTAGTTCAATAAAAAAAATTGCATCATGAAGCTTAGCAATCCTGACTGTATTTGGTTTCAGCTCAGATAAACAAATGAAAAATTGAAATTTCTATTGCTCTTTCAGTTAACATGAGCACTCATTTCAGAAAATTAAAAAGGACCAAAAACTGAACCAGCAGCAATAATAAAGTACAACACCCTAATTCATGGAAACAGAGTTGAAAACAAAATAATTGGAAAACTGTTCTGAAAACCAAAACATCATATTCTGTAGCTTTTATCCAAAAGCGTTACAGAACAATAAATGAAAAAGAAGAAAAAGTTGTTATGTTAGTTAACTTTTTTATAAAATGCAACCCAGATTTCAGATGGTATGCCTAAGGGAAGTGAGATAGCAATCAGTGCTCAACTCATCAACTTCCAAAACCCAGATTGTGCATTTCATGAGCCCCCTGAGCCCCCTTCCCACAAAGCCTACAAGCTGCCTTTTTCTTTGTTGAATGTGGACCAGAGAAATAAAAAATCAACAGTGGAGTGTTGGGGTCTCAATGCCCTGAAACACCAGTCACCTTGCACCAGACACAAAATGACTACTTTGATACTTTCAGCAGCTACACAGCACTGTATCTTCCATCCTCAAAAAGGTAGGATATGCATACATAGCAATAACTGTTTCTGGAGCCCACTATGAATAGCGATGAATGTGCACTGGAGAAAGTTAGGTCAACTCTTAGCGTCTACTGTCAATGAATTTAAAAATCTTTCTAAAGCATTAAACAGTCAGTAAATTGTGCTAATTGTAGAGATGACTCAAGCAGTGCAGCAATTATAATTAAACTGCTGTTGCATAACTGCGATGTTCTGGTCATCAATGAGGTAAATCACTGCAGATCAGAAGCATAAAGGCAAAACAAATTCGGTTTGGAGTCCAAAGTGTTTAGCAAATAGTCTAAAACAATGCAACCATTTTTTTAGAAAGTGAAATGATGTTATGCAGATACTTTATTATAAATAGGAGTGTTCTCAGATGATTTGTTCTAAGCGGCAAACTGAAGGGGTATTTAAGGATACAAAGCTACAGGAATGAAGATACATGCCTACTTGCAGCATGTTTCCATTGAAGAAACAAGGAGTCATCTAAAGTCACTGTACACAGTATACAGAATACATACATTTTCAGACATTTAGAGCTTGGTCACCAGTACCTGTAATCTCGTGAGAGTATATTCCCACATAAAAGTTTTTAAAAGCAAACGTACAATCATACTTTTGTTCACATAGTTTTAAAAAATACTGCAGATGGTGAAAGTCAACAATTTTAAAGTCTGAACATAAATTAAAAAGTCAAGAATAGTTCTTTCCCACTTGAAGCTTAAAGCACTTTTGTGGCATTATTTCCACTCCATAAATTTTGAATTCTGAGTTCAGATTCTGACATGTGAAGTACTTTTATAAAGCCTGCAGGAGAAACATGATTGACAGTACCCTCAAGTGTTTTGAGTTTCCCCAGTTTTAGGCAAAAAGATCAAAAATAACCCACTTTCAAAGCATTTTCCATAGGATGCTAAAATATTCATCAATTTAATTCACCTTAATGCTTTGAAAATCTTCTTTGGAAGAGGCGACTGGGAAACATAAGCATAACAATGTAAAAATTTGAGGTAACACCCTTTGAGAGAGTGAAAGAGCTTGAACGTCAGGATATAGTTCTATTGTAGCCACCATTTAGATGTTTTTCAAGCCAGAGTTCTGCCAACTGCATTGTTGATCCAAACGTACTTGCTTTGGACCCTAGGCACATCTTGTATTGCTTAGGATCCATGTTGGGATCACAGTGAACAGGGTGGTAAACATGGACAACACCAATTTCTTGGCTTCTAAAGGCATTCAAGCCAACAGAGATCACTTTCGTAAAAAGGTCCACATCTTCTAGGCCCCAGCCCTGAATGGAGGTATCAAACCCACCAACATGCAATAAATCACTTTTGTATATGCAAACTATTCCAAAGCCATAATCCCGCCAAAAACCGGTCTTCTTTGTGAAAACAAAGTTATTATCATTTACTGGATTGCCGCCATAAACTATTTTTGGATCATACTGACTAAAGATTACAGGAAAATAAACCTGTTCTCCCTGAATTGTATTGTCCCTACACCGTTGCACAAAGTCTGGAGTAAATATTAAATCGATATCACAGAAGAGCAGCAAACTGTTATTATGAAATGAGGAAGAGCCCATTTCTAGTGCTAGGCCTCTTGAAAACTCCCCTTTCATAGGGAGAATGGTCATATCTGCTTTAGGATATTTAAGGTTAAGGTCTCTCATTAACTCATTGTGCTTGCCTTTATCTGGGCTTGGATCAGAATTGAACAACAATATGAATAGTTTTACATTCTGATTTGGAATAAGGCAAGTCTTCTCAAAGTTCTCCATGAACCGGACAAATGTCTCATATCTTCCAGTGAGAGGGACAAGGATGTGAACTTTTTGGTCATTTCGTTGTTTAAGCTCTTTTGTGGTCTCTGTGAATTGGAATGGTGAGAAGATCTTCAGTGAGTTTGAAAGGAAAGAGAAAGACTGAGAGTCACTGTTTATGCTCTCTGCAAGCTCTCTAGCATCAAGTTCTTCAGCTTCCTTCATCAATGCTTTACTGAAAGACTGTTGAATGTAGGCATGGCGTCTTACAGGAACAGTCACCTTTCTCCCCTTATGCTTCTTATAAAGTAGCAACAGATCCATAATGTATTCTGCTCCATGCATTGGATTAACTCTGCGATAGCCATACTGAATTTCTTTAAATTCGATCACACGTCCTCTGGTCTTAGAGTTCCAATTGATCATCTCCATAACCTGCATTATAGTGTCATCCAGTGCTGCACGGAGTGCACTGTTGATACCCTGACGAGGGATTTGTGTTTCTACCATGCTAAATAGGTGCTTCCCAGTAAGAAATTCCCATTCAAGAACCTCATTCCTGTCACGAGGCTGGAAGCGCATAAAAGATGGCATCATTCCAAGTTGCTGATCCTCCTTGCGTACTTCACTGCTGCTGAGTTTGCTCATAGAAACACTTTCTCGATGCAGCTGAATGGTTCGATGACGTAGTTCTGAAACTTTACGAGTCAGCAAGTAGTTATGTAGTCTATATTGATAATCAGGCCTTTTATTCGGGTGGAGTGTTATCGCATTATGAATCTTGCTGTTACGCAAATCCTGAATGTATCCTTTCTTGTTGTGCTCATAGTTTTCATAGAACAATTGCTGCATCTGAGGAATTGGAAAACAGTAAATGTTATTTTATTGAAGCAAAGTAAAGAAACAGCACAAGAAACCATCAGGATAATTTTATGCACTGTCATTACACAATATTTACCAGTGTAAACACAATCTTAAAATAAGTAAACACTAAACAGAACTAATTCCGAGAAATAATCATTTCTAGGTAAACTTGAAAGAATTTGCTAGAAGCCCACTGTAATGGTCACACTGCAGAATAAATTGCCTTTTGTGGAATATTGCTGTTTTAACCATGCCACACTCAGCATTCAGTACCAACCCTGAGGATAATTTTAAGGGCTTCCTGCACAGCTACTTGCTAACAGACTTCAATATTCATGCCAGCAATGATTTTCTGTCAAACAGGGAAACCGAATCAGTATTTTCCAGAACAAAAACAGAAACTGCTGGAGGAACACCCAGGTCCAGCAGCATCTATGGACAGAAAGCAGAGTTAACAATTTTAAGTCCAGTGACCCTTCTTCAGAACAGATGGGTTCTTTCACGTGCACTTAACCAATATTTCCTACATATTCCTCATCTGTAATGACTTCACATTCACAGGACTTTGCTTTCATTTATTTTCTCCATCTAAATGTACAAAGTATCTTGATTTTAATTACAATGAATAGTTGCACTAATAGGTAATTATATTATTTTTGTTTCAAAATCTATACAATTACATGTTGTTCTGTTTTGAAATTAAATAACCTTGAATAAAAATGCTGCATTCTTTTCTTGAGAATTCAGCAGCTGAGGGAAGAAACTTTAGAGACAAAAACATAGAAGTCATATATCAGCCAATTTGAATTGCATGATTTCTGTTCCTAATCATTCCTGGAATGGATCTGAATCTAGAACTTCCAGTTCAGAGGTTGAGGCTAAGCCTACTAAGTCACAAACCCCCAGATTCACTGGTGTTTGCTGAAGAATCTGAAAACTATGTTCTGGCCCTGACTTACCTGTTTGAGGGACTAACCTGTATGATAGGTGTCAGATCACAATACTTGCATAGATTAGCGGCAGCTTGTCCCATCCTAAAGATTATTGCCTCAATTCATGGTAAACATTTTTTAAAAATTCAAATAATATAAATACCCCAGGCATCCTCCATCTTTCTCTTATTTGTTTATGGATATGATATCAGTGGCTGGCCCAACAATTTATTTTGATCCTTAATTGCTCTTTGACAAGTGAATAGCATCCTCATTATTTTTATTTTTTCGGTCTGCTCTGCTCCCTTTTTCACACATTCATTTATACCCATTTTACATCTCTTTACCACCATTAGCAATCTCTTTGTCTTTTGGTCTGGGTACTCTCAATCTGTTCCACTCGCTCCAGATTTTGTGGAGTTCAATTTTTGCAAGTTTTTATACATTTTCAGGAGGTGGGCATTGCTGGTATTTATTATGCATCACTAATTGAGAAGATGATGGTCATCTGCCTTCTTGAACCACTGTAGACCTTTTGTCGTAGATAGGCCTACAATACTAAGGATTTTGACCCAGCAACAGTGAAGGAATGGTGATATATTTCCAAGTCAGGATGGTGACTTGGAGGGGAACTTGCAGGTTCCCTTGTATCTACTGCCCTTGTCCTTCTAAATGGAAGCGATCTACCTAAGGAACCCTGGTGAGTTTCTGCAGTGCATCTTGCTAGATGGCACACACTGTCGCTACCGAGTGTTGGTAGTGGAGGGATTAGTGGATGCTTGAGGACAGGTACAAATCAAGCAGGCTGCTTTGCCCTGGATGGTGTCAAGCTTGAGTGTTGTTGAAGATGCACCCATCCAGGCAAATGAAGAGTATTCCATCACACTCCTGACTTGTGCCTTGGACAGACCTTGGGTGTAACACCACTCAGGGCATAAATTACTTGCTGCAGGATTGTTATCCCTCTGATAGTATTTAAGTCAACTTGTCTGATTCAGTTTGTGATCCAGGATATTGATAGTGGGGAAATTCAGCAATGCTTCTACCACTGAATGTCAAGAGTGATCATTAGATTCTCTCTTGTTGAAGATAAGCTAACCCTATCAGCTGGCATGGATGCTGCTGGTCATTCATCAATGCAAGTCTGCATATTGTTCAGGTCTTGTTACATTTGGATATTTATTGCTTTGGTGCCTGAAGAATCAATAATAGTGCTGAACATTGTTGCTGATGATTGCACAATCCCCACTTTTAACCTTATAATGGAGGCAAGATTGATGATGAAGCAAGTGAAAATGTTTGAGCCGAGGAACACTGTTGTAGGGAACTGGGGTTCTTGTGGAACAGTAATGTCCCTGCCTCTGGACCAGCAGGTCTGGGTTCAAGTCCTAACTGCTGCAGAGGTGTGTCATAACAAGTTGGTTAGAAATACTTAGATCAGTCAGGCTGATTGGCAAGTTTTTCTGATGTATGCTCTAACACCCTGAAGAATTCCTACATTGATAGGTATAATTCCAAACAGTGAAGAGCTTTTATCCTAGTTCTCAAAGATTCAGTTCTGCCAGGGATCCTTGATGCTGTGCTGTCAGATAAAACCCTGACGTCAAGGATAGTTAGTCTCACCTCACCCACCTATGGTGAAAACCCATGTGCCCAGAACATAAGTCTGGGTGTCTAAGTTACTGGTCCAGTGACATTACAACTATGTCACTCTTCCCCAGCACTTTACTCAACAGCATTTTCCCTAAGTGAGAGGCTTGTAATAATGTGTTAGTGAGCATTTTGTTTTAAAATCTTAGGGGAGTTGTCAGCCATTAACACTCAATGTCCAGGTTCTCTTGTGACAAATGACCAAGAAATATAATTGGAGTCATTGTCTGGCATAATCTTGTAGCCATTGCTGAAATATGAATGAGACACGAGGAAAGTATCAGAAAAGGAGCTCTAAAAAATAGTCCACGTGCGATTGACAAGGAGTCCTCCAGAAGCTTTTGCCTTAATATTTCTGCAGCCCCAGTAAATCTCTTGACATAGCTAGCACAATTATAGTGCTAAAGTTCATTCAGTGAAATGTATCTACTACCTGGTTCGGTTCATTAAACTGTTACATTTGGTGTGTTCTCATCTATTGGGGATTGGAGGTGAGTGAAAGAAATATCGGGTTTGTTCTCCCCTTGATTGCCTGTACAGCTAAGGGCTACAAAGAAAACAAATTTTGGATCTTTTCCTTACTGCAGTACTTCTCCACAGCTTGATAAAAAAGATGAATTGGCTAATTATTTTACTGCAGTGGTGCATATGTGTGCGTATAAATGAGCATTGCTACATTACTGTTAATGAAAAAAATCTCAAATAACATAAGGCTATGGAAGAAGTTTCTTTTACCCAGTTATAATTTAATGAGGCTTAAAATAAACATGTTCCTAAATTAGCAGTATTGCTATACACAACCAACTACATTAACGTATTAGAAAACATTGTACAGAATACAGTATATTGAATAGTTTCATGCAGTTTCTGCAAATCATACAGTAACTGACCTAAATAAAGCTGCTTGGGTTTGAAAGGCATTTTGATAACTGACAGTAGGTACATGAAGTCCTTCTATCAGGTAAAATGTAATGTGCATGAACACATTACATTTATAATGCCAGATATGTGACTAGGGATATTAGATTAATGAAAGCACATTCTAGTAGCCTGGCTGCTCTCTTCCACCGTATGAATTGTGCAACAAATCAATAATCATCTGAAGAAAACTGCCTCCGTCTTTGGAAGCATGAATGCAGCTAACAAAGTCTAAGTGTCTGGTACTGTTTCCTGGGAGTTCTCCATGAATAAGGGAGCACAGTGATCTCAAGAGAAAACTGTTGATCATTTGAAAATTTTGAAATTGTCTTAGATAAATAAAATTAGATTCTTTTAAGGAATAATTTGAGTTTTGGTTTATGATAAGGCTAACGCATACTTCCAACATTACAACAGTGATCACACTTCAAGACTCAGTGGTTATGAAACAGGTTATAGAAATTAAAGTATTTTTATTCATGGAGCACTTTTGGACTCAGGATATTTTATTCAGTTGAAGACAATTTTTTTACAAAATACGTTCACGGGAAATGGGCATTGCTGGGTAGGGGAACATTTATAGCCCCTGCTCACCCCCCCAAACAGAAGTTTAGGGTCAATGGTTGCCTTTGTGAATAGAAAGCTGTCTCAAGTGATTGGGACCCTTGCTATTTGTTTTATACATTAACGATTTCAACTCGAACGTAGGGGGCACAATTGGGAAATTTGCAGATGACAAAATTAGCCACGTAATGATAGTGTAGTGGATAGTTTGTAAGCTCCAAAATGATATCGATGGATCGGTTGCGTGGGCAGGAAAATGGCAGATTGAATTCAACTCTGATAACTGTGAGGAAACGCATTTAGGGAGGTCAAACAGTAAAAACAAATACACAATAAACGGGAATTTACACAGAAGGGTAAATGAAGTGAGAGATCTTGGTGTGCAAATGCGCAGGTCCTTAAAAGTAACAGAACAGCTGAATAAGATAAAGAAAGCATATGGAATACTCTCCTTTATTGGCAGAGGTACAGAATACAAAAATAGGGAGATAACGATGAAACTGTATAAGACACTGGTGAGGCAGTTGTGTGCAGTTCCGGTCACCACATTACAGGAAGGATGAATTTGCTCTGGAGAGAGTGAAGAGAAGATTTACCAGAATGTTTACTAGAAGAATTACTAGACAGGAGGAACTGGTTTCCCTTGGCAGACAGTTCAAAAACCAGGGGTCATCGATTCAAGCCAAATTGCAGAAGGATTAGAGGGGGTGTGCGGAAAAGCTTTTATTTATGCAAAGGATTGTGGGTGCCTGGAATTCGCTGCCTGAGTAGGTGGTGGAGGCAGAGACCCTAAACTCTTAAAAAGTACCTGGATTGGCACCTTAAGTGGTGCAAGCTGCAGGGCTATGGGTTGTATGCATGAAGGTGGAATCAGGAAGAGCCTCTGGGTGTCTTGGGGTCAGCATGGACATGATGAGTCAAATG